AATGAAGAAGTGCAGAATTTCGAGGTGGAGGTACGAGGCGACACTTTTTACTCAAAAGAAGTCCGGAAAGTCCTGATCAAAGTTTATCATCCAAAGACATTCGTCCAAACGGATAAACCAATCTACCTCCCTGGACAAACGGGTAACCTTGAGTTGATGATCTATGATGTTGTATACAATATGGTACCACACTGTAATATAGACAGATTTCCCCTTTAATAGTAATTGGGATGTGGGTGCAACACAGGGGAGAAAATAATGCACCTTGCTTGTTTGGAGTTAAATGAATGCAGCAGTCATCCTTGCTTTCCTAAAACTTTTTGTATTTTATGTGACACGTCAACATTAACTCACACAGGTGGTGAGAAATTAATAGTGTGTGCTCTCAAGATTTGATTAATTTGCTTATTTCCACACAATTCATAAAAAATGTGTTGATTAAAATATAGAGAAATTAATTGTGTGTGCCCCAGAATTTCAACAGGCAGTACGGATTAAAATCACGGATTAGAAACAAAATGTTAGCGTGGAAAACTATTGTGAGCATGTGTGAAAAAAGTTCTGTTAGCTTATATAGGGACATAGGGACATATGTAAAAAGTCACGTTAGCATATGAAAAAGTTGCGTTAGCACTAATAACAATAAATTACATTCGCATATGATAAAGCAACATTAGATTCTATGAAACAAGGTACGTTAGCATATAGGTAAACAGTTATGTTAGCATATATGAAAGACTAACATTAGCACATGTGAAAAAAGGGGAAGTTGGCATATATAAATAAGTAACATTGGCATACATGAAAAAAATTACGTTAGCATTCATGTAAGTTACATTAGTCTATAAGGTAAAAGTCACATTAGCATGTTCGAAAAAGTAACATTAGCTTACATGAAAAAAGTTACATTAGTATGTATGAAAAAGTTATGTTAGCATATCTGATAAAAGTTACGTTATAACATGTATGTAAAAAGTTACGTTGGCATATATGAAATGTTAGCTGTTTTCTTGCTGCACCAGTTAAGAACAAAATCCCCACAGTCCAGATATCATATGAATTATGTTAAACATTTTGCAATATTAATTAAAAATTGTAACTGTGTGAGCTATCTTACTTTTAGATTGGTGCTTTTCATCATCACCAGTTTCTGTACAAAACGATCCACCACCAATTTATTTTAAAATCCAATGCTGTGACCAGATTACTAGATACTGATAACTAATAATGAGCTGAAAGGGAGGTTTTCCACTCATTTGCGATTCGTGCAGTTTTATGGCAGAGAACAGAGGGAACTACAACATTTCACAAGAAATTTTGACAGTGTGGCTGCTACTGCCCTAAGACGTCGCAATATATATATTTACACGCCAATATTACCAGTAGTGTCATTGAGGTTCAATTGAACTTTTCTGCATTTTAGATTCATACTCTTAGATTGATTCTTGTATTCGGGATGGACAGTCCACAAATGGCTTCCCTCATTTCTGTATTGAGATCACCAAAATATTATTATCAACAAAGAGGAAAGACTCTGCAGAACGCGTTGGTATAATTTTTATGTTTGTGGTGTTTAAAATGTGACCATGAGGGCTCTTAGAGGTGTGGAGCTGTCGCTCCTCTCTTGTCTGTATCTGAGGTGACTTGTGTCCATGTGTGTCACTGGTTGCCATGGTGATTGTAGCACCTGTGTGTTAGAGGCTAATTAAGAGAGATTAGAGTAAACAGGGATTTTCGCACTTTATACCAAAACCATGAGTCCAATCAACAACATATGGGTACCATGAGAGAGATAAGACTCTGCCGAACGCGCTGATGTGGTTTTTATGTTTGTGGTTTTAAAAATGTGAACTCCAGAGCAATATACAAAACTGGTAACATCTGCTTTCTTTGAGAAATTAGTGGTGATATTTAACATGGAGTCTAATGGAGCAGTTGGTTGGAGTTCATGTCGCTCTGCGGCTCTTTGAGCCAAATGTGTAAGTCTGTTGGATTCCATGGACACATGCGTGTGATGACCACAAAATGTTCTATCGCTTTGGCCAAAAGAGTAAAAGTTGTGGGACTCGGAGCAATTTATTTGGAGAAATCACAGAATGCTTTTCCTGCTCTGCTCCACTCTGACAGTTATGTCCTCACTCTAGCTCTGAACATTCCGTGCAATGCACACCCATTATAAAATCTGAAACGGACCCAAAATGTTCCTGAAACTTAATCTGAAATGTCCATTTGACTCAATAAAGTCCAACGTTTTGTCTACGTTTCAGACTTCAAATCATTTTTCTACGTTAAAGTATGGCTAGTTAATATGGGCCCAAAGTTAGGTGTTTTTAGCTTTCTTGACGCCGAAACCCCATTCAAGTGAATGGAGCAATTTTCGGGAAAATGGTTGGGCAAATCTCTGAGAAAAGTAACACAGCACACCATTCCCGGTCAGGCCGCACATTTTGATGTATTTTTTGTGTTGGCAACGCTGCGGGACGAGAAGCGCGCCAAACCTTTGCACTGAAGAATTAATAATAAGCCCGCAGGATTATAGTCAGTGTGTTTTTGCACAGGCAGTGACCTTTGTGCCATAAAGCCAGACTGAACAACGTAAAAACCAACAGAAAATTATCTATGATTCTAGCTTTTACGAACTTGTGAATTCAACAGTAATGATATCATTTCTGAGCAGTTTTACTAGCCTGTTAGGATGTTTATCACTGTTGTAGAAGAGCTGCAAAAGCTTCATGTTGAATAATCTCTCTTTATTCCTCTCAGTGCATTTCAGACTCATCACACTGGACTCCAAGTTGAGACCTGCCAATGGGCTGGTGAGAGTTTGCACAGTCTTTCTTTTCTTTAGATCTCATTCATGAAACCAGTGTCAGTGATACTGTTAGATAACGGTGCAGGTTTTAAAGTTATGTAATGAAGTGATCGACATCGATGTGCTGTGGGTCAATAGTACAACCACGGCCCCTTTAGGTAAACCTTCCAACATTTTAGCTGACTAATCCATCACCTCCTCACACTAGTTTATCATTTTTATGGTATTTTGAATCGGTGAAACTATACTGAAGATTAAATAGAACTGTTTTTCCATAAAAGAAAAAAGAAAAACTGAATGACATAGACTCTGAGGAGTTTTAATGTGAATGTGTGTCCCACGTTTTATATTTACAAATCATGAATAAAGAGCTGCAGTTTGTGTTTGCAGTAAATCTCTGGATTGGAAAACACCGCTGATTTCTTACTGAAAAATGTTGTGCAGTTTTTTTTACATTCAGCTGAATTCATAAGGACTCTGTATGATGCAAACCAGCTTTAACAAATCTCCATCTTTCTTCTCTTTCTTTTGCAGTACAATATCATCGAAATTGAGGTAAGACCAACAGGAAAATATCCACACTTTAATACACAATACATTAGACTGAAAGTCAAACATTTTTAAACTTTCATTCATAAATTAATAACTTAAAGCAAGATGGTCCAGTTCACTTGTTTGTATTTGAGAAATTCAGCATGTTGATTTCCTAAAAACATGCTTTATAATCTGTGATGTCAACATGTGAGAAAAAGTTCTGCGAGGTGTTTGACACTTATTCTGATAATGCTAAGTTGTAAAAATAAACACTGCAGTGGCAGGATATTTCGGAATTTATATTGTAATTGCTTTTATTGTTTCTGTTTTTACCATGAAAAGTGTCTTTGAGTACCTTTTAAAGCGCTATACAAGTAAAATGTATTATTATCATTATTATTATCATATTTCACACTGACCAACTTGAACAAGGCATTTATGAACGATGCCTTTAAGTATAAAGCGTAAGCTTATAAAATCATTCTTGACCTTGGAAACTAAAAAAATCCTTTTTACAGGCTACATCTTCTTTCTTACTTGTAATTGACTGTTAACCTTTTAAATCAAGTT